CGGAGCAGCGCTTGTGTGAAATCACCCTGAGTCTGAATTTGCCACAGCACTTTTGTACAAGTGATGGAGACATCTTGATTTAAACCTGTTCATCTTTAGAATTTTCTAATAAATTTACAGTCCCTGTAATCTTTCTATAACTAATATTATTTTACAGTGCTACCCTCCCTCCCCCAACTAGAGGTGATAGATTTAACCTGCTGTATTTTGCTTCAAACCACAACCTTAAGGCTTATTCACCTTAAACCATTTTACGTGGGAAAGGTGGCACTGTCAAATCATTCTCTTGTGGTCTAATCACATCAGAACTTGACAAATTAGTTGTGGTTTGACCATCTACATTTAGGAACAGACATCTGAACGGTCCCTTGAGCAACACTACACACTCTATAAATAAGTGTAACAGAAGTCTGCTGGCCACTTCTTGGGGTGAACAGCAGCTTTGGTAGGGATAAAATCAGAATAGAGAAGCAGTCAATATCTATCACCAAGACCTACAGTTTGTTTGTTTTCTAGACTATCCGATCACAGCCAACTTGTGGCGACCCCAGAGGGTTTTCAAGGCAAGACATGTTCAGAGGCTATTGCCTGCCTCTGTGTAGTGACTCTGGACTTCCTTGGTCATCTCCCAACCAAATACTAACCAGGGCCAACCTTGCTTGGCATACAAGATCTGACATAGGGTTGCCAGGTCCTGCCTAGCCACCAGCAGGGGATGGGGAAACTCAGCCAGATCCTAGTTGGGAAGCTCTTGGAAATTTGGGGGTGGAGCCTGGGGAACACAGGGACTTCAGTGGGGTACAATACCATCCACCCCCCAAAACATCCATTTTCTCCAGGGAAACTGATCTCTGTAGTCTGGAGACAAGCTGTAATTCTGGGAGATTCCCAGGTCCCACCTAAAAGTTGGCATCACTTATCTGACAAGATCGAGCTAGCCTGGGCTATCCAGGTCAGAAAAATGTCCTGAAGCCCCCAACCCCCCTTCTCCAGATTCCAGGTTTGTGTTCAACCTCCAAAATGTGTTTCTGGTGCAAAACTGGTTTCTGGAGGGGTTTTTTTTGGGGAGGGGAGCAGAAAAATGGTGAGCCAGTGAAGAGTTACTCTCACTTTCCCCTTCTTCCCCAAACTGACACTTTTTTGGCATGTGTTTTTCTCTACAAGTTTTTAAAGATAAAGTCTCATACAACATGTAGTTCTACCTTTACACCAGGGGAAAAAATGCGGCTGCTTCTTTTTTTTTAAAGGACCACATATTTTCTTTTACACTGTCATTGCCTTTTCTGAATATATGGAACTGGTATAATGTAAAATTCTACACCCTAGAAATGTGTGTTTCAGCAACAAAACTGCCCACTCATCAGGATGAACTTTGCCTAGGGCATGCAAGAAACACAGGGCTCAAGGAAACAACACTATCCTGGACCCCATCTTTTGTCATTCCTATCACAGGGAATTTTACATTTAATCATATTTGCAGGATTAGGGAGAGACTGGCATGTGTGAGTGTGAAGAGAATAATTAAAACTTTTGTTTCCAATGTCACATTTTGTTGGAGAATATCTCTCTAAATAGTTTTATGTTCCATACATATCCTCAGTATAAAGATGTGTAGAAAACAAAAGAAGAGAAGAGAGTTGAAACTGCTGATGCTTTCGTTTTCTGTTGCTTCTAGGCATTCAAGCAATTTTGCTAACAAGTATCTGTTAACCTATTTCCAAAGGCCACTTGCAGATAATTATATTTCCTTTAATTTACATACTTCCAGTTTATAATCCTAATTAATTCTCCAACCACTAGTCCTTAGGCAATCTGTAACCCCACCTCCTTTTGTTTGTGATCTCTACTGCGTGATAACGTGTTTTCATATAAAACTGGATGTGAAAGCAACAGAAAATCCACCAGCAGGGGTCTTTTCGTAGAAAAAGACCTGGTATGCTAATTAGCTACTAGGCTATTAGCATATGCCACGCCCCCTGACATCACCGGAAGTGATGTCAGAAGGGGAAGCAAAAGGGAGGAGGCATCTTCAAAAGCCTCCCTTTCCCTTCCCCAGCTGGCCTGGGGGTGGGGAGCGAAGAGAGAAGGGGTTTAAAGTTTAAAATCCTTCTCACTAGAGTTGGTCCACAGAAGGAGGAAAGAGGGAAGGAAAGAGAGAGAGTAGAGAGAAGGAAAGAGGGAAAAAGAGAAGGAAAGAAGGAAGAAAAGAGGGGATAAAAAGAGAGAAGGGAAGAAGGAGGGAAAGAAAGAGAGAGGAGGAAAAGAGGAAAAGAGAGGAAGGAAGGAAGGAAGGAAGGAAGGAAAAGAGAGAAAGAAAAGGAGGGAAAGAAAAGGAAAGGGGAAGAAAAGGAGGGAAAGAAAGAGGGCAAAGAGATGGGGGGAGGCTCTCCCACCCCCACTCAAGCCTCTGCCACCCCCCACGGATCCCTCACTTAC